ATAATTTGCACCACATGCTGGGCAAATCTGAAGTACAGTGCTGACAAACACTACACACCCATAGGTGAAAAGACCTTGAACCCATCAGTTAACATAACAGGAGGTAACAGGAAAGGCAATCAGGATCTAAAAACATGAACACAGAATGAGAGATTGCACACCACAAAACCATGTACAGAATTGGATGAGGAAACAAAAACAACCTGGTCAAACTCACATATAAGACAATAAACCCCAAAGGAACAAAGAACTGGGGCCACCCAATCACACAGACAAGCTGGCTTGCTTGCCCAATGGCTAAATCTGTGAAGAATATACAGGACTCCAACCTCAGAGTAAGCAGTCACAGATATTAGTAAATTGCATAATCAGAGTGAATCCTAAGCTAACACAGGAGCAGTCAGCATGATAGGCAGGACTTGTAATGTGCACAAGCGCACAATCAGTGCATATAAAAAAACTTCTCCCCATCAACAGGCCTTGTAGGGGTAGAACATCACATACACTGGCCAGAAGTGAGCCAACTCTTGGAGTCTGCTCGTAAAGGAGGTAACCCACGACCGATGAGAGTGGATATCTCTGGTGGGGCATAGGGTAACACAAGCCATATCCCAGGAAAGATTACCTTAGTTACAGTCAGAGTGAAATGGATTTCTATGGCATACACAAAGTGGGTAGCACTAACACATTTAGTGTGAAAGCTATGGCTCCTGATGAAACTAATGTTCCAAAGAAAGCTGAAAGCAAGAAGCTGGTGATGGGTCAACAGGTGTTGAGCTGGTAGTACCAAGTGGAAGAGGAGGGGGGAAAGGTTGGCAGATACCTCGGATGACCTGGAGTGTTATCTGGTGGTGGCCAAATGTATCACACATAGTATTTATCCTGCAGCAACAATAGTGTCTTGTTTACCAAGGTGTTTTATTTTTCTTCAAGCTTGTTTTATTGTAAGTACTGTACCTATGCTCTCTAGTGGGTTTACCCAATTTTATTAGTTAATGTCTGATCCCTTTCTCCCTCGCCTCATAGAGCAAACCATTTTCCTGTCCTGCCCTGTGGCAGGTGATGAATGGATCTTGGTGGCAGGGTATGTCTGGGTAAGAGTTAGTGGTACCAGAGTTAAGCTTGGAGCTTTGAGGGAGGTGGGGGGTGGGGTCCTGCCCCCCCCAAAAAAAAAATAGATCAATACTATCTAATTTCAATGTGCATGTCACAGGATATAACTTTATCAATGACAGTAATAATAATAATAATACTGTACATAACAAAATAATGGAAAATAGGGAATCTGTGCACTGGCATTGTAAGGTCATTGCTGCATATTTTTAGAATGGTGTATGCACCATTACAGATTTATTCCCAATTGTAATATTTTTAGAATCAATGTACCTAGCATTAAAAATCTAAAATGCACTACATTTTTTTTTTTAGAAACTAAGAAGCCTCTTGGTTACATTATTTTAAACACTATTTGTTAAGAGGGTGAAAGTTACATCACAGTTGTGAATATAGGGAGATATGCAACATGTTAGTATTTCTATAATTGTAATAATTTTTAATATATGCAAGATAGAAAATGTCACTTATTCAGGAGAATAGTACATAAGAAATGGAGATGGGGCTTGTGTAGTGAAAGATGGGGCTTCAGGTCTGGCATTAAGAAAAGGTAGTGTTTAAAAGAGTGAGACTAGTATCTAAAGTTATTTTGGACATAGGGCATACCAATGAATTTATAAAAGATACAAAAGAAAGCTAGACAAAAATTGAGAATACAGTATAGTATACCCATAGCTTGCTATAGGTAATCAACCAGTGTCTAAAGGGCTATTGTATACAATAATTCCAAAGGACCAGTAGCTAGAATGCAAGTAGAGATTCTTTGTATTGTCAACCATCTTATAGATGACTGATTATTACACATGTAATTGGCTCTTGGTGTTTTATCTGGTCTTGCTACAGTACTGTATGTGAGAGTTATCAAAGGGCATGTTAGATTTCGGACAGCAGTTTAGTTATATATGACCTTGTAAACCAATTCACTTTCTCCATAGTCACTGGAATCTGGAGACCTACCAGAAATATGGAAGACGGATAATGTAGTCCCAATTAACTCTGTAAATTGTATTACAATCCAGATCATTTGTTCAATGGCTCCTTCTAAACTGATCAAATCCAGCCACTTGAAAATTCAACATTTTTTGAGTGGAAATTATGCTGAAATTCTGGATTCCAAATGGGATTACTGTGGAATCTTGAAATACTGTAGTCGGTTCTCATTGAAATTTTAATACAATCATAGGTTTTCTTATTTTTGCTAATCTTGCTTTTTTATTTGTAAAAATTATTTGAAATGATACATTTTATAATTTTGAAATGTTTGCTAAGTGTATACAGTACTCTAATACAAATTAGTGAATTTATATTGCGAATCTGAAGAATTGAGCATTTTTCAGTAATCAGAAAAGAGAAATTTATCATGGTTTCCAATTCTTAAATTGATTCTTTAAGATTTAATGAAAATTAACTTTACAAGAAAATTTGTAATCCTTTTTTAAGTAAATTGTATATAATGTATGCACCTGTGATGGGTACTGGAATGTTTTGAGCATTTTATTTATTATTTTTTTTTTTGTCGATTAAGGACGACTTTTTGAGTAGAAAGTTATTAGCTATGCTTTGAGCTAGTGTTGCAGTATTAACTTTACAATACATATTTGAAATATGATAAAATTTATTTTATAGTACACAAAGCATGTACAGTATTATACAGTACTGTATAGGGGATACACTTGTATATAGGTGTACGCACTAGGGGACACAGGTGGAAATTGAGGGCCATAGAGACGTTAGAAAGAATTTTTACAGTGTCAGAGTAGTAGACAAATGGAATGCATTAGAAAGTGATGTGGTGGAGGCTGACTCCATACACAGCTTTAAGTGTAGATATGATAGAGCCCAGTAGGCTCAGGAACCTGTACATTAGTTGATTGACCGTTGAGAGGCGGGACCAAAGAGCCAGAGCTCAACCCCCGCAAGCACAACTCGGTAAGTACTGTGAGGGCAAGCATACGGACTAGTTTGTATCCATTGTGCAAGAATGCAGTGTAACGTGGATTTACAGTACTTGAGCATTTTTGCTGTCTCTTTCTGGTGTAATTATTTTCTGTTTAAGCCATGTAGTGCAGCAGCATTAGTATTGGTACATCAGACAGGGCTAACATTAACTTTGTTATTGTGGATAATACAGCCAAATTATTGGAATAAACATAATCATGTCTAGGGAGGAAATGGTTAGCAGAGGAGTATAGCATTGATACTAGTGCTGATTCTGATAACAAAGAGACATTGGAAGCAATCATATAGTTTATAAGTAAAATGGAGTGCGGTGGTGGAAGAAGTTGCATAAAAACATGATTTTTTAAGCTTAGAATTTGGATGATGTTTACCAGTCTGGTATTTACCAATACCAGACTACACAGCATTGTAGTCTGGGGATGGCTGACTGGTGGTGCAAAGTTTGTCTGAGAGAATGGCTTTAAATATGGGCATCAAGGACTTAAGATCAGTTCAGAGTAACTGCAGAAGATTAACACACAATGAGATACATGTAGTATTATAAGTACATTTTTTACATCTCTGGGATATAAAGATCAGCCTGTACTACAAACAAATTATATTTTGTGCACTATTTGTGTACACAATCAATAATGTATAAATAATTTTATACATTATTGATTGAAAAGTAATAAAAAAAAAATGAATTGCCCAAAAAGTGGGGGTTGGAGGATAATCATTTGGAAACCCATAACTATATTCAGATTTTTGAGGGTACAGCACACTTTTATCATGAAAATATTGTAGCTCTGTCCGGCCGAGCGGACAGCACACTGGACTTGTAATCCTGTGGTCCCGGGGTCAATCCCGGGCGCCGGCGAGAAACAATGGGCAGAGTTTCTTTCACTCTATGCCCCTGTTACCTAGCAGTAAAATAGGTACCTGGGTGTTAGTCAGCTGTCACGGGCTGCTTCCTGGGGGTGGAGGCCTGGTCGAGGACCGGGCCACGGGGACACTAAAGCCCCGAAATCATCTCAAGATAACCTCAAGATGTGTTTAAAGAATTCCAGATAAACAACATTAAATATTTAAACACTACCTGTACCAATAAATTGTCAAGTGCAACTTTAAGGAGTGTGTATTGGCTTGCATAAATGCCAGAGGGTCCTAATAGTCTATTGCTAGTTACATTCCTCTGTAATAATAGTGTGAAAATTATTTGAGAACAAGATATTGCCTGCAGGACATAAGTAAAGCTGCTATTTAAATTATGATAGATAATATGGATTTTGCTAATTGTAGGCAAGAAAAACACAAATGATAGCATCATAGAGCTCTGTTTAATAAAAAAACATACAAAAGCTGATGATTATGTACAGTAGTTTTTATAGGGTAATAATTTGTTTTTACATGATATTTACAAATTTTGGCACATGGTCACATTCACAAGTGCACAATTAACAAAATGTGCAAAAATAAAAAAATGACTGTACAATAAATACAAATATATATAATACAGTAACAGCAATAAGGCTTAAAAACAAGCTGATATTGAGATCCATAACAGATTATCACAATGAAAGAAGATTCTTAACCACACAAAGATGGTGCACCAGGCAGAGCACCATGCATAGTGGAGCACCTGGCAGAGCACCATGCATAGTGGAGCACCTGGCAGAGCACCATGCATAGTGGAGCACCTGGCAGAGCACCATGCATAGTGGAGCACCTGGCAGAGCACCATGCATAGTGGAGCACCTGGCAGAGCACCATGCATAGTGAGCACCTGGCAGAGAGCATGGGAGGCATGATGCACCAATGGGTAATGAAGCACAAAAGTCCTGCTGCTCCATCACACTGCAACACCAGTACAGTCATGACAGCGCAGGTACTTGTTGACATCACGTAGTCAGCATCATGAAGTGGCACCAATGTCTCTTAATCAGATCTAGCAGGTACAGTTAATTTCAGTAGAATATAAAATATTTAATATAAATAATTTAATAACACTGGTACCACCAAGGATGAGGGGGTGGTATTGAGAGTTGCAGATCATTGCACTAACACATAGGTTCTTATCCTTGAACAGCTGGCTCCACCACTGCACCACCTCCCTCTAATGCCATCTATCACTGACACGTGATGTTCATGAGCTTTTATAACTATTGTCATGTCTTTTGCTTTTGAGAATATCTGGAGGTTAGAGATTTATGACATTATTACGACATGTGATTTTTACGACAGGAGATAATGACAAAGATCGAGTACAGTATTACACTTTTGGCTTAAATCTTGACATATAGAAGTCACAATCATTACAGTATGTGGATGGTGGGTTAACACACTTTTTTCTACATAGATTACAGGGCTGCAGAGCAGTGCCTGTGCTAGGGGCCACTGCTGGCTTCTTAGAGGATTTGTTCACAGTAGAGTAAATAGCAGAAGGGTCCAAAGGTCCACAGAAGTGCCCTGGTCCTCCCTTAACACCCCCCCGGCCAACACTCCCATATCCAGACCCATGTTGCTGTGTTTGTGACTGCTGCTGTGAGTGGGCATGTGGAGTCTGCTGTTGCTGCTGTTGGGATGGGTGGCTAGGCTGCTGTTGGCGGTTAAATGATCCAGCTGGTGTATAACCAGAGTAACCGTTTGGCTGGCCAGTGCTTCCAGGGTGACTAGGACGGCCCTGGGGATGCATAGACTGATGGATCTGTGGGTGCATCTTTTGTTGGTGGTTCACTGGTTGTGCCTGAACAGAGCTTTGGTGTGAGACACGTTGATAGGGTGGGTATGTCCTTTCTGCTTCAGAGTGATGTTGCAGTCCAAGACTACTGTTCTGGCGAGTCATCATTCCAGGGTATGGTGCAGCTGGTTGTCGCGGCTGAGATTGTTGCTGCTGCTGTTGCTGTTGTTGAGGTTGATAATGTGGAGCCTGCTGCTGCTGTGCTGCCATGTGTCTAACATGTTGTGGTTGTTGCTGCCCTGGTCTAGTGGAATGTTGCCCAGGGAGAAGATGGGGCATCTGAGAAGCATGCAAACCATTAGCAAGCGTCCATACCTGACTTTGTCCATGTGTACCTTGAGTGTGTGATACTGGGTTAGGTTGAGGATGAGGCTGGGAAGTATGGGAGCCCATGGGCTTTGTGGTGCCCTGGAGATGGGTAATACAGGGGGGAGGCTGATACGGCGGTGGCACTCTCATTTGTGCTGTGGTGCTCTGTGAGGGCTGCTGGTACTGCTGTCCATGTGGATGTGTTGGATGACTGTGTCCAAGATGGGGTTGTACTGGAGCTGGGGTGGGATGGTGTTGTGAAGATGGGGGCTGGTTAGGATAAACTTGGGTTTGGTGAGGCTGTTGGGTGGTGGGCTGAGATGAATAAGACTGTGCAGAATGAAGGTGGGGTTGGGGATGGTGTGCTGGGTTATGAACCGATTGGGCATGGTAGCCCTGTGTTGAAGTATGTGACTGCATGTATGAATGTTGTGGCTGAGGCTGACTCTGTGGATTGTTTACAGACTGATAATGTGGACTAGCCTGTGGAGTGGGCACATTAGCTTTTGTTTGTGTTGTACTGTTCGGTCTTGGGCTGCCTGACTCTCCACATGACGACGTGTCTGTGTCTGACATAGAGGCGGATGAGGTTAGAGCCGATTTCAGGACCCTTTCAAGAATTGGATTGGGGATATAAGCATCCTCCTCTTCATCTTCTGCTGTTGCAACAAGAACCACTTGATCACAAAATGTCACACTTTTCTTAGATTTTTTCTTCTTTGCACCATCAGTGGAGTTTGTGTCTGTACTAGTATTTAATTCAGAATCTTCTTTGGCACTTTCACTTATGCTATCCTTACAACTACCATTAACACTTTCACTGTGTTCGTTTCGGGTCCGATAAGAAGAACTAAGTCTGCTTTCATGACCACTGTGAGAAGGGAGCTGGAGTGAGTTGCACTGAGTGTACTCCCTCGTAAACAGTTCTTTGCTGACTGTTCGTTGTCGTTCACTAATTTCTTCTCGAGTTGGTTGCTGGGGTGGCTGCTGAGATCCAGCTACGCTTGGAGCAGCACTGCTGTCTACCTCGTCACTTCCACCATCACTTTTATTTGTTATACCAACACCCTCAAACTTTGAGGCTAGGTTACGGACAGAAGTTGTCCCACTATCTCTACTACCAGCACAGTCATTTTCTTTAACCTCATTCTTTGCCCCTGAGCCGGGTCCATTCTGATCCTGCATCTTCTTCCGCATTGCTGCTTGCTTTGCTTGCAGCTCCTGTAGCCAATCACTGCTGCTTTTTGATGTTGACTTAACCCGATCATCAATGTTTGCGCCTGTACTCTCCTTATTCTCAATTATCTGTTGTCGCTTTTGTTGTAGCTGCGCGAGCAAACTTGAGGGTTCTGAGACGCTAAGGGCCTCGGGGGTAGCCCTGGACACCGGTGGGGGTGGAGGCAAAAGCCCCCTGATCTTGAGATCCTCCACAGCCTCCTCCAATGGAGGAGGAGGAGGAGGAAAATCCTCACTACTCTGTCTTGAGTGAGAAATGTTGGACCAAGATGGAGCATTATTGATTTGAGCTTTAGACTGAGGATTAGTCATTTGGTGACCTTCGTAGTGTTGCTGGTGGTGAAGTTGCTGCTGCTGTTGTTGATGTAGAGCTTGCTCTTGGTGATGCATCTGTTCCTCTAGTTCATGGGGCTGTTGATGTAGCTGCTGGTAAGACTGTTGAGGCTCTTTTGGAGTGGCTTCTTGGTGAACATCAGCACATATGGTAATCTGTGTAGGTGTGGCAGGTGGCTGTTGTGACTGCTGTTGTTGCTGGTCTGCGTAGATAGGACCACTGTAAGGAAGAGAGTTAGTCTGATACATGTCATATTGTGGCATCTGTGTGTGATAAGGTAGAGACTGTGGTTCACTTTTAAGTATGTTGTTATTAACGATCTCGGGTGTATAACATCGAGGCGGCAGTGCAGGAGGATCTTCTCCCGGGCGGTCACTTGGTGGCAGAGGGTATGGGGGTCGCTTTTCTCGCTTCTTATCCTCTTTTCTATTATTTTTCTCATTTTTATGTGAAAGTTGGGAAGTAATCCTTTGTGGGATTGGAGGAGGAACTTTAGTAGCTGCAGTGTTCTTGGCAGGTGACAATCCTTTACCAACACTTCCATGAAAACTCTTCCTCATAAGTTTGCTACGTTCAAGGTTAGGGTTACTGTACTCCAAGTGGCCCTCACTCAGGTACCCAGCCATGGTTTTCTCTCCTGAAGGTGTGGTAGGTCGTGAGAAACTACGAACTTCCAGGTCATCTGTGGCAGATTTTGGGCTCTCTCCATCTTGACCCTCACGAAGATCTGGCATGCTACGGTTCTTGCGCCGGATGAGACCACCCATAAGAAGCTTCCGTCTGATTTTGTGTTGTTTCTTCCCAATTGATTTTTCCTCCTTTACCTCAACAATTGCATTTACATCATCTTTTTCCATGTGCTTCTTTGAACCCTTCGAACTATGATCACTGCCATAGTCACTATCAACTGCACGATTCTTCCCACTCTTTTTTTCCTTGTGTGACTTGTCCTTTGTCTTGTCACTGTTCTTCTTGTCTTTTGATTTTTCCAGCTGGATTTCTACATCATCTTTCCTAGATACTTTATCAGAAGACAGCTTCTTCCCTTTCTTCTTGGGCAGTGTAGCATAAATTTCAATGTTGGTGTTCTGAAGCTTTTCAGCTGTCTGTGCCAAAGTCACAGCTGTGTCTAACTGCTCCTGGGACCTGGCCTGAGATCCACTTGAAGCATCACGTGACCCCTGTCTGCTGTGGTGGACTGACCCTTCTCGTGACCCTTGCCTGCTAGTACGTGACCTCTGAGAATCACGTGAGCCTTGGCGGCTGTGATGAGGTCCATCTGCAAGAGATTATTTTGGTTATACAAGATGCAAAATTATAAATAACAGAGACCTCATTTTTTAAAATTTCACATGATAATATGAATGAATTTGAAGGCAGCCATTTAAATATAATAGTAAAAGGGCTTGGTTCACTTAATATCAGATATGAAATATATATTCTTAATGATTATATGGTAATGAGAACTCTACAAATAAATTACACAAAAGTGGAGTTGATACCTGCCATTGACATCTGCATGAAGAAACCTGACAAGATATATTAAAACTTACCAAGCTTATATTGCCCCTCCCAAGCAGCAGTCTCCTCCTGGATAAGTATGCGGCGGTGTAGAGAGCGTGCCCGCATAACACAGGTGTTGTGTTTCATGCGAGCAAAGGTAAGGGAGTGCGCATTGTTGTAGGGCGCATCCATCGCTGCCCGCGTCTTTGCTGCAGCTGCATTGCACAGGTCCAAAGCACCCTATATATAAAAAAAAAATGCAGTTGTTAATTTTTTTTTTTAGTGATAATATTCTTGGTATACAGTGTATTGACAAAGAAAATTTAGATTCACTGAGGAAACGAGCAATACTAACGGAAAGGTCTCCAGATTCTTCACGGGCACGGGCTTCCTCCAGTAGGGAATCAGCAGCCAGGCAAAGTGTCTCGCAGTTCCCACCAGTCTCACTCTCTGTAAGTGTGCTGACACTACTGCTGTCCTGCTGACTTCCCCCAGTATATGTGCCAGGGCTGTCACTTGTTTGTACACATTCAGGGATCTGCTGAAGCTGCTCGAGAGAAACAATAAACATAAAAACGGGTTCTTTAAATTTTCAATACTGCTTTGTGTGTGAAAGTCTGGATTATGGTTACATTATAATTACCATACTATTAAAACTATGGTACTTATAGAAACTATTGTCAAATGTACAAAAATGTACTTGTACAGTATACTCAAAAACTTTCCACATGTTTGTGTTACTGAAGTAGTCCAAATGACATACTAAAAATGTAAAAAACAAAAGAAACTAACCAATCCAAGCACTCTTGGGGTCTATTATTCACAATCTTAGGCTTAAAATAGTTCACAAGTGCTTTGCCAGGCCTAGGAATGTTTATTTTTGTCAGATTACAAATCTAATAGTACAAAATGTGAACATTGTTACCTGTAATTGTTGAAATAGTTGCTATAAATATTGTACTATCATCTTTGGAGGATAGCTTAATCTCTTGCTTGTAAATTCATTTGACAAAAGTTATGGCTGTACATAATTCTACAAAAAAAAAATTAATCCTCACCTGCAAGTTATGCTTCAAGTTCTGCTGGATTGGGTAGGAGTCATTGGATGAGAGCGAGTAGGAGTCATAACCAGGATCGTACTGACCATTAGGGCCAGTGTTAGGGGGTTGTACCATGGAGTTATGGGTGTGTGCATGTTGTGGTGGAATACCCACACCAAGGTTTGCATATTCTGGGTGGTCAGTGCGGGAAGGACTAGGTGGTGCTTTGTTGGTGGGTGATGGTGGCTGGCGACCTGCCTTACCCACTATAAATAGGTAGGGATGTTCTAAAGATGTGGATGAAGATGATGACGCACTATTGCGGTCGCCACTCCAGTTGCCGGAATCTCTGCGCCGAGGCACATTGCTGCCCTCTGGCATCTTCAGACCATCTTTCTCGAACTGTTCAAGGGAGGAATTACTATTTCGGTTCCCATGCTGGTTGTAACCATTGCAGCTTACTGACCGTTGTCGTTCCTGTCGCTGTGAATCGTTTCGTCTGCCAACATATACAGAGTCGTCAGAATCGAGTCGTCCCCGGCCAGGAATGGAAGGCTTATTAGGTAGAACGGAGCCACTTTGTTTAATACTTTCCAGCTGCCGCCGATAGTTAGAGGTACCCGCCTCAAACACCTCATCAATGTGAGCTTCTCCATTACCATCTTGATAAATGTGGGCAGCAAGGGCATGAATATTTTGATAGTCTCTATGGGCAGCTACTTCAGGGCTAGGTGTGATTGCTCGGCGAGGAGTGGGTCCTGACCCATCTCCACACTTTTCTGGATTAGGTGTGACAGCACGACGAGTCGAGGTCTGGGAATAGGGCTCTCCAGTGGTGGGCTTTAGTGAAGATTGGGAAGTGCGGGTATGTGGACGGTGTCCTGGTACTAGTGTCACTGTCCGTGGGGCACTATCCACGGGCACGGGTGTCCCACTTGGGTTAGCATACAGCAGCAATAGTGGCTGGAAATGCCCACGCCTGCATTTGTCTACAACTTGCTCCCAGTGTGGTCCAATTTCACGAACTGTGGCATCGTCGAAATAAATCCACACTCGAAGTTTTGTGTGGTAAAAGAATGTAGAGTAGTGTTTTCCATAGTAAGTTACCACACCAACAAGCTGGTGGTGGGTGTGCTGAGCCCAACGGTCATCAACTACACTCTGGAAAACGTCCCTCAGTCTCAGAGTAGTGCCGACTGTGGCAAACACAGCCATAATGTGTTCCAGTGTGGGCCGTTCAGAGTCCCACACAACGCCAATGGACACAATCTCCGGTCGGTTCATCAGTGTCCGGCAGATCTGGATCTTGGCCCCACACGCACTCTGTCAATCATAACAACACTTTGCTTTATGCCAGTCAACACATCACAAAGGACCATAATGTAATTGATTCAACTATGTAAACATTAAATCTTTCATTTTTTAAATCAGTACAGTACATATGCAGTATATGAAATCTGGATTATATTCATATTACATTAACAATATAAAGGTTTATGTATCAAGTACAGTAGTTTTAATATTGGAACATAATATTTTTAACAATACCAGTATAACAAAATCAAGATTTATGTAGTACTCACAGGGCAGTCGCGAATGTCACCCATGCCACCTGCCTTCTTAAGCAGTTGGCCGAACATATCTAGCTGCTGATGCTGGGTTTGAGAACTACCGCCCGGATCAGTCATCTGCTTGGCCTGGGCAGTGAGGGCCGAGGCAGATACGTAATGCACCATCTGTGTAAAAGGAAGAGGCTCGGAGGTTGCTCCACAGTCACCACATACACTTTGCTCTACCAGTGTCATGGCAAACCTCTGGTGAGGAATACAATGACGAGCATTGCACATGTCCTCCGCTTCCCCGCTTGCCACATGGAAATGGATCCGGAGTAAAATATTTTCAAAGCACTCTGCAGCATCATCCATAAAGCCCAACTGGAACCGCTGTTGGTTGTAAAAAGTCTGGGCAAGGGCACGGCGTAGAGCATCTGGTGGCAGGGCTGACTCATGACTGTATTGCAGCTGCGAGAACAGTTCCTGTGGAAAAAAATTACATTTTAATACCCATATTACTTGCCATATTGTTAATTACAAATATCATTTTACATTGATATAAACATATTGAGTTGGCACTGAAATCATCATTGGTCACATACTGTTAGGCATATACAGTAATTGTAAGTACATAAAACAAGGTTTCCATCACATTACATCAGTAAACTGTATAAGTAATAACAGTTCTTCCCACAGAAGTTGCCAAACTAACCCTCCTACATGGTAAATGTAGGAGGGTTAGTTTGGTAAATTAGTTTACTCCCAAATGGTAAATGACAAAATCAATGAAATATTAACAACTCTCTTTCACAGAGTAATAAGAAATTGTCAAACGCCTTTCCCTCACCCTTAGTTGGTGAGCAACCCTTCTTCACACTTAATGTATTTGTACCCTAAAGATACAAGATGCCTATCATAGCAATCACATCCTACTGACAGAGATTAACATCAGAATACACACAAAACTAGGGTACAATTTGGAGAAACAGGCAGAAATGGCAGGGAAGCTGCATCATTGGATAATTACCTAACACCAATATACAAGACCCTATCTTGTTACTGACCCATATAAATGATCATCCTCTTAATGCTTGCCGATGACATATATTGAGAATGATAAATACACTGCAAGACACTTCAAGTTGATCTGGACAGACTGAAAGAATGGTTCAACAAGTGGCTACTAGAGTTGAACTCATGCAAGTGCAATGTAATGAAGATGGGTGCTTAGACATGAAATACCAATGTTATTGAAGGAATGCACTAAAAAATATCAGCATTACAGAACAGTTCCATGTTTTTTGTTATTTTTCCTTCATTCCCAGTTCCTTCATTCCCAATCATATTACTGTAATAGAATAAAAAGTAATTGGAATGTATATACAAAGATATTTATATCAGGATATCATCAAAAAACACCAGAATGAATAAAGTAGGAATGATATTGAAAGTCCCCCATCTCGCAGGATAGTTAGTCATACAGGGGTATGATCAGTATACCCTGCACTGGCTAATTTTGGGTGCATTATAAGGATATCTTCAAGAACACTAAAATTAATAGTGATTGAAAAGCTCCATGTATCTCATGCCGGCAGGGCTGAAAGGTCTAATGACCGGGCATTCAATATTGTAGTGTGTGAGATCACGACCCGGCTCCTGCTCACAGAGTTTGCACTTAGTGCTCTGGATTTGTGAGATCACGCACCTGTAGCCACCTGCCACAAGTAATGGTAGCCCAACCTGATCCTGGCAACCACTATGTCGTACTGTCTAATGGACATTTTGTGCTGCCCATATACATAGATTTCAGATCTAAATAAATCATAATTATTTTTGTATTAGTGCTTTCAGGCATTTGGGAGTCTGCAATTTCTTTCTTAAACCTGAGTGTTCTATCTTCCTCAGAAAATGTAATACTGAATTAATGCTCTGTTTCTAGTGAAGAAATACAGGGACTCTGCCAGCCACCTTTCACTGAACATGTACTGGGAGGTCACTACTGAGCCCGACCCCCCCTCAATAGGGCCAAAAGGATCGACCCCGATCAGCCTATGTCCATCCCATAACCAAGACCATTCACACTACAAAGTTGGTTGAGCCTGGCTTCCAACCTTGGACGGGCAGACAGTTTTCCAGCAGTGCTGTGTATCTAAGATTAATACAAAATAAAATATCACCGACGGTCATACAAAAAAAGCCCTTTTGTATTGAAGCTTCAAACAACCAATTCAACTGATCTCGTTTATATATATTTCATATTAAGTCTCTGGTGTTGTCCTCCACACCTGGATGTCCTACACCCTTCCCCCAACCCAAAGACTCCCCGCCGGAGCCCACCGCGCCACAATACATTCCTGATATAATCCAGGTAGCTCGCACTAGGAATGAGGACCTGGACCTCACTCACGAACCCCCCGTAAGGCTACCATTCATACATGCATTCCTGGGAATCCGAAAACCAGTTCTATCAATGGAAACCTTAGGCTTTAGACTCCGTGTATTCATCGAAGAATCTTCATATTAATGTTATTTTGATGGGATTTTGTGATGTAATAGCAGTAACTAGCATAACAAAAGGCAAAGCTATTATGGATAACTGTAATGTGCATCATCCTAAATATGTCGCGATGTACTTTATACACAACTGTTGTAACGCAGCACATCAGGGTGTACTGGTGCAGCTGACATGTTTATTTTGCTTCCTCCCCCCTCCCCCCTCGGAGCCGAAGATGCGAGTTCTATAGAAACTGCCTGTCTTTGTCCGTCCAGAGTTTCCCCGAAGACCATCATATATTGAAAGGTTTACTTTAATTGTTTCGATGACAGTTGTTAACTTCAGATGTACAGTAAGTATGTTGACCAGACCACACACTAGAAGTTGAAAGGACGACGACGTTTCGACTTGAGAATGGTCCAGGACGGACTGAAACGTCGTCGTCCCTTCACCTTCTAGTGTGTGGTCTGGTCAACATACTTCAGCCACGTTATTGTGACTCATCGCCTGCATACAGTAATTATGCTTAAGGGGGCTTTACCATTCCTCCACATATAAGCGTATATTTATTAATTTAATAAGTTGTGAGGGTTCGTCATAAATCAGTAGCAGAGGTAATCCTGGTGGCGCACGCCTCGGAGGGTTTAAGGCTCCCTACTCTTACATTCCTGTATGTGGAAGCCAACTTAACGCCCGGGGGGACATGCCTGTAACACCTGGGGCCTCTGCTCCTCGGGGTGGGTATGCAGACCGTGGTCACGCAGAAGTACAAATTCCACAGAAAACAATTCTCGACTATTATATTTATTTTAAAGGTTGGTTTATTAATACAAAGGAGTTGGTCAACATAGTGTTGTTATTTGGACTAAGTTACCCCGGCAGACGTTGTAAACCAGGGATGGGGCCAGAGGCTTTTCTCCCAGACGGGAACGGGGTTACCTGTCTCAACCTAATTACCGTTCAATGCATTACTGTACCGCATAATTAAAAGTAATGTTACCTTACCTTGAGGTTAATGTTACTCATTACCGGTCGCCAATGGTCCCCCTTAAGTCACACATTACATTTAATTACTGCAGATGACTTCAACTCTCTCTCACACTAATATTCAACATTGGAATGGTGTTCTACTTGCAAGTAGACGTTTTGTGGAGTTGAGGCGGCATCACCCCCCCCCCCCACCCCACACACCTTGCATGTTATGGCGGGAGGTAGAGATGCTAAAAGTTGGGGCAGGAAGAGTGGTTCGTGTGGTACTGCTGTAGGTGGGCCCTAGTAAAGAGGCTGGTGATCCTCCCCACCCCCCTTTTTTTTTTTTAAGGGAGACCACTGAGGTCTTCTAGCCTGATAACCACGTAAAAATAAACACTTCTTAGGCTTGACGCATCTGTTCAAAAGTTGTGGCAAACAGTGAAATGCGTGTTAGTGCTTCTCAACCACGTCATAATTTAAACGTAGATTTTCATGTCAGACATCTTCAACTCTTGTGAGCAGGAACTACGGCATGATCTCCCGCACTACATCACTGAATGCCCAGTTATTAGACCTTTCAGACCAGTTGGCATGAGGTACCTGGAGCTTTGCAATTACTTTATTCACTCTCGTATTCTTGAAGATATCCTCACAGTATACCCAAAATTTGCCAGTGCAGGCTGTTAAACACATGGCTCTGTATGACTAACCATCCTGCGAGATGGGGACTTGTATTACCACTGCTACCTTATTCAATCTTGTGTTGTTGATATCCTCAAAATGCATCCGGAGTCTGCCAGTGCAGACCGCTTATCACATGCCTCTGTATGACTAACCATCCTGTGTGATGGGGATTTTTTAGCATCACCTAGTTAGCTTTTTTGACACACTGTACTCCACTTCATATAGTCTAGGGTAGCTGCACTAATGCAGATGTACCTCATATCTTAATAAAAAAAAAAAACAGTTAGCTGGCTATTGCATTAATATATATACACTCAAATTGTCTGTCACGATGCCAATATTACCGAAGACAAAAAAAATTACTTAAAACATCACTTGGTTGAAAGGGCATAGGAAGTGTATATGTATACACGAGACTAAAGGACAAATAAATGTGTATATACATACATTCATATTTGCTGGGTTAACGCATTAACTCATACATGTACTCATTTAAAATTCCCAGTAACGGGCTGTAACAAATGAACACAACCCACCACATTAGAAGCGGAGAAAGTAATAGTTTCCCTCCGTTCTAAACCATTATCAAATCGAGAATAATAATGGTCCAGAACGAACCTAAATGTCGTCGCTCTCCAGCTGTGTTAACTTTGGTGCATTAGTTAGGTAGCAAAGTGTAGCGAGAGTAATTTATGCAACCTATCACCCAAAAATGCAGCCCATCCTCCTAAAATGAAAGTACTCATTCGTACTTTCCTTCAAATACTTGCTATATGTAGTAGACCACCAGACAGTTTGACTTGTATTATTGAATTTGGACAAACCAGAAGTTCACATAAATATAAGACCTAACCTGTCCAACCCTAATCATATACATGTTAGGGTTGGACATGTATATGAGTGGGATTGGGTGGTTATAGATAGGAGCTGCCTCATATGGGCCAATAGGCCTTCTGCAGTTACCTTTGTTCTTATGTTCTTAACATCTCCTAGCAATTCTAGACCTAATATACAGTCTCAGTTTAATATACAGTTTAACAGTCTCCGTGGTGTAGTGGTAAGACACTCGCCTGGCGTTCCGCGAGCGCTATGTCATGGGTTCGTATCCTGGCCGGGGAGGATTTACTGGGTGCAATTCCTTAACTGAAGCCTCTGTTTAACTCAACAGTAAAATGTGTACTTGGTTGTAACAACGATTCTTCGCGGCGGGGATCGTATTCCAGGGACCTGCCCGAAACGCTACGCGTACTAGTGGCTCTACAACCATGTAACAACTCTTGTATATATCTCAAAAAAAAAAAAAAAAAAAAAAAAAAAAAATATAGTACATGCA